ATATATATATACACACACCTATATATATATATATATACACCCACATGTATGCGCACGTACATACATACATACGATCATTATCTTCTCCCGGCTGTGTTTTTGAGGGCGGAGGGTACATGAGTCTAAACCGTAGAAGAATAGACACCTTCCATCCCTGCAGGTACATAGCTCTCTACGGGCCGCTCCTAGCCGCTATCTCCCTCATCATGCTCTTGCTGGTGTGCCACGGCTTCAGAAAGAAACCCTGGCAAGGCACTCGCGGCTTCGGGCGGAGAGGGCTCTAGGAATATGAGGGCCTTAATACCTAGAGTAGGGTTTTTGGACCCAATATACTATAATTACAACAAGGAACCCCCAAAATAGTATTGGGACTCTAGGGTTACAGGGTTTGCGGCTGTAGCTGTAGGGGTATCGTCTTGAGAGCTCAGGTTATACGCCTGGGGGGAGAGCCTGGGATCTAGGGGGTAGGGAGTTGGGGTCATGTCTTCCACCAGAGGTTGGCCGTTGGGGGTTTAGGGTTTATAGGGTATAGGGTTTAGGGTTTAGGGTTAGGGTTTAGGGGTTTAGGGCTTGGTTTTTCGCGAATGAGACGGAACTTGGCACGCACACCTGGCAGCCCTGACATGCACGAGTTCCGTAGGATTCGAGCATTCCACCCGTCATGACTTTCTCGAAAACACTGCCAGGTTCAAGTTGAGTTGCTCACTTTCCCTGCAAACCCTAAACCCTAAACGTTCAGACCCGTTCTGCAGGGTGCTTCACCGAGCCCTAAGCATGAACACGGCGTCCGGTGCCAAAAAAAGGTATGCCATCTCTGCCTCAACGGTCTCGCCCCTGCCTTGGAGAAAGGGGAGTGGGAAGCCGGAGGCCAAAGAGGTTCAAATTCCGTTTTGATTTCAGCGTTCTATAATTGTTGGAGTATAAAAAGGATTTCGTTCTCCGCCAGTAATACGGGCTTTGGCCCCGGAACAGGGGGTGTCTAAGAGTAACTTACGCTTCAATTCCCGTGGTCAGCCGCAAACCATACCCGGAGCTCCGGGGAACCCTAAACCCTAAACCCTAAACCCCAAACTCTAAAATCTGCCCTAAGGCTTTTATTGCCCTTATGGGCTTTCTAGGGGAAGGTTTGGGCTTTGAGGGCTTTCACTATGGGGGTCCATGAGCCTTAAGGTGAACCCCAAACCCTAAACCCTAAACCCTGAACCCTAAACTCGAAGCCCTAAACTCTGAACCCTAAACCCTAAACCCTGAACCCTGAACCCGAAGCCCTAAACCCTAAACCCTAAACCCGAAACCCTAAACCCTAAACCCTGAACCCGAAGCTCTAAACCCTAAACCCTAAACTCGAAGCCCTAAACCCTAAACCCTAAACCCGAAACCCTAAACCCTAAACCCTGAACCCGAAGCTCTAAACCCTAAACCCTAAACTCGAAGCCCT